TTTTTCTGTTTTTTGAGACAGAGTCTCCCTGTAGCCCCAGCTGGCCTGGAACTCACTAAGTAGGCCAGACTGGCCTTTGACTCACAGAGATCTGCCTGCCTCTGCCTCCTGAGTGCTAGGATTAAAGGCATGGGCCATCACACCCAGCTCAGGGAAAAGCATCTTAACATCACTGGTGGTCTCTGGCCTTCTCCAGTTTAATAATCTCATACCATCAGCATGGCTGCTGCTGTTAATAATCAGAAGCCTATTTAGTGCCAGGCCTAGTTTCTCTGGTTCTTATTTGGTGAGCATCATAAGTATTTCAGGCTCATATGTACAGGGCAGAGAGAAATCAGTGGGTTTCTATAAGCTGGTTGGCAGGTAAGGGGCAGAGTCAGGACCCTGGAGGTTCTAAGGCAGGTATAAACTCTGGCTTCCCTCTGGTAGGAGCTGCCTGTTTTGAAGAAGGCCAATGGTGATGTCCTGCTGGGGACAGGCTAGCTTCAGGAGTGGACTGGCTCTAAAAGGCTCTATCTACCTATGTAGCATGTGTCCAGACGGGGGAAAAACACCACCAGATCATGCTATGCCCAGTGCTAACCAACAGCCTGGCTTTACTCTTGAAGGAATAAATTTCTAGAAAGGGTTAAGGTGCAACGTGGAGCTCCCAGAGCACTGAGGTGCAGGGTCTTGCTCTAAGTCCTGGCATAGCAGCACACAGAGTTCTGCATTAGGCTTCATGGCCTGGAAGGGTGCAAAGAGTTACAGTGAGGTTGCCAAAAAGGCCTGGGAAACCCAAGGAGGTACCTGGACTTGATTGGCAGCTGTAAGAGAAAAGCATTAAGAAGCACCACTGGGCCAGGTGCAGTGGTGCAAGCTTTTAATCCCAGTACTCAGTACTGAGGCAGGCAGATCTCTGTGAGATTTTGGTCAGCCTGGTCTACATAGCAAGTTCCAGGCCAGCTAGGGCCACAGGGAGACCCTGTCTTAAAAACAAAAACAAAAATGCAGTACAGGGGAGGGGGCTGTGGGCAGAGCTTTCAGTTGCCAGGTCATGTGCTTTTGGTCCAGCGATTCCTTCTAGTTTTATGCTGTGGGAACCATTGGTACACTCATTTTACAAATGATATTGAAGTTCAGAAATACTGTCATGGATTCTAAGGCACATAGCTAAAACGTGCCAGAACTGTGATTTAATATCCTCTCATTGGCTACAGTCTGAACTCCTAACTCCAAATAACTAATTCCTGTTTGACTATGCCATTTAAAAGAGGTTCCCTAATCCCCAACCTCTCCTGGCCAGTCACATGTAGACATTAACCTTTCCCTGCAAAGTCCCCTCAAAGAATCCTTTGCCTGAAGTCCTCCTTAATTCCACCTAATGTCATCTCCAGAGTATGCCCAGCCTTGGAGCCTGGGAACTGGGTTCAGAGAAGGAATTCAGAGCCACCTACAGATTGGGGATCTTTGGTTAGTATTGCTGTTGAAGGCACCTGTCTCCTTGTGGTTAGTCATCTGTACTCTTCAGACTTAGTCTCTTCCTTGAGGTCCTTGATCTGAAAGCCTGATGAAAAGATGAGAGGGTGCTCCTGAGCCTGCCCTAGTGCTTCCCAGAGGCAGGGGCTGCTGGGGGCTGCAGGAGGGCCGAGGCTGGAGGAGAAGTGGGAGAGCAGAGATGGTATCCAGGTGCCTGAATCACTGGGACTCTTCTAAGGCCGTTGGCTTCCCTGGACAACTCTTAAGGGAGGATTAGGGAAAATCCTGGGAGAAAGGACTCTTCCCACCCTGAGAACCCTCTACCTCTTTTGCCACAGCTCACAAAAAATAAAAACGTTCTGAAAAATTTTCTAGTCTCAGTTTTTTCTGGGTAGACACGTGGAAAATTGGATTCAGTCACTAGCAAAGACAACTCCTGGTGTATGGAGGTGTGGTGGGGAGCACAGAGTGAGTAGTTTCACAAGGTCTTAGTCTGTTCCATTGACCTGGGCTTCTGTCATGTGGTAGCTCAAGGCCTATCTTATTTTGAGGGTGGTGGCAAGGAATGCTTGAGGTTCTAGATTGGGACCAGCTCCTTGTCTGGGAGCCTCCATTAATGTCTTCTCACTTAATTCTCACCATGATCCCTTAAATGGATGGCATTTTATAAACTAGGAAATTGAGGTTCAGAGAAGCTAAGAAACAGGCAAAGCCACACAGCTGGGAAGCAGTGGCACTGGGCTCCAGATCGCTCTACACAACAGAATAGGAAGCAGGGGGTCTTGAATCTCTTGAAAGCCCTTGACAAGTTTTTTTCATGTATGTACAAAATCACAATCATGCTTTCACCACAGTTTTCATTGTCACAAGGCCCTTGGACCCTAGATAATTAACACTTTCTTGTGCCAAGTACTGCTCTGAGTGCTTATTTAGTATTAAATCTAGGTTTAATCCTCAGATGATGTGTCGCTGTATACCATCCTTGTTCGTAGCTACACAACGGAGAGGGTAAAGACCAAGAACCCGACCAAGGTGGCCAGTGGGGATGGGGAATAAGCCAAGAGGCCAGCATAGGTATATCTGTCTGTCCAGATGCCAGGCATTTACCCACTGCGCACACGGCCTCCCTAAAGCTTGGTGGCCCATCAGTCTGACCTGGCTCCAGGATCCCAAATGAAAAGTCTCTTACCGGCTCGCAGCAGCCGGAACCACTGACTGGCAGGAGGCACTCCCCGGGGCGCTCGGCTCCCGCAGCCCTGCTGCAGGCTGGAGCCCCAGGGCACCGGGTGGAGCCAGGATCCTAGGCGAGAAGAAGAGGACTAGGAGGCGGGCGGCACAAAGAGCTTTTTATTCAAATTTGTTTAGAGTTTCGCGAATTTGCATGAAAAATGTGTGAGAAAAGCCAGCTCCAGTGACCTCATCCGCACCTGCCATTAACGTTCAATTAGCGGCTGAATAGTGGCTGCCGTCGCGACGTGCAGAGAATCCTGCCTGCCCCGCGCAGCTCCTGGGCGGGCAGGGCCCGGGATGGGGAGGAGGGGCGGGCCGCAGGGCTCCGGCCGGCCCGAGGCTCTCGGCCCGAGACCCGGGGCCTCCTTCGCACTCTCACTCCCGGAGGGACACTAGGACCCCAGGACTCTGGAGCCCAAGGAGGCTTGGGGCGCGCCAGGGCCCTGGGCTCCCTTGGGACGTAAAGGAGTGCAGGTCTCCGGGTCGGCGGAACGGAAGATGGACGGGCGAGTCCTGTCCAAGCTCAGACGGCCTTCCTCGCCACCTTCCGGACAAAGTGTCAAGTACAAGTTCAAGTTCAGGGCCAGGCCCCCGGAGGAAGGGGTGGGGGGAGCCATCCCCGGCTGCCTTTGTTCTCCTGGATAATCGCTCCCACGTCCCCTCCCGGGCGGGGCCCCGCAGATACCCCCGCCCCGCCCCACCGCGCCCCGCAGGAGCAACCTCCTCCCGCCAGCGCGGCGCCTGTCCCCTGGTCCCGGCGACCCTGCTCAGGGCCACCGAAGGTTCTGGGGGCTCCATGCGGGGGAGGCACGGTCCGAGCCCGTGGGAGCCTCCCTGGCCCGGCAGTCCCAGCAGCAAACTGCGCTTGGTTGGACGGATGCACGCGCGGAGGTAAGGACCCAGTGGCGGTGTTCGCCCGCACCCCCTATGCCCCGCCCCCGCCCGGGCCTGCGAGAGCAGGAGGAGCAGGGCGAACAGCTGTATGCTGCAAAACCTTTGGGAGGCTGGGCCACTCTGCTAGGCCTCAGGAGGGCGCACTGCCACTCCAGACCTTTGGGGGGTACCAGACTTGAGGGGTTGGGTACCAGGTCAGAGAGACCCTGTAAAGGCTTGGGAAGAACACTGGGGCATCTCATTCAGGGTCTTTTGTCCATTAGCCTCCACTTCTGGGTCTCTCTGCTCCGGGAGCGTCCTGACTTCTCAGATTTAAGCAGGGAGGGAGAGTACACCCCCTCTTCCCCCAGAAAGATAGATCCCCAGGCTCTGAGTCCCCATGGAGAGAGGTGCAGAGGTTCTTGGGGCTCAGCTATTAGGTGAATCAGCTATACTCACTCAGTACCTCTTCTCTGTCCCTCTTTCCCAGCACCTAATTGAAAGTCTTGGTCCAAATGATGGTGACTTGAGGTGGGCCGAGGTTGGCAGAAAGCTAGTGGCAGTGCAGTAGTCTTTATTCTGCATATAAATCTTCCTATGGTTCCTGTAGGCCTGGTTCCTGGACCCCATGTGGGGTCAGGTGTTAGTCTATTCACCCTGCCCACTTCTCAACTGAAAGGCCACAGAGGGCTGCTTCAGAGTGCCCCAAAGTTGGCCCCCTTTCT